CAATGAAAAGATCATTGGGCTATCGGCGAGCGGCAGATCTAGCTTTCAGTAATTGCGGTCATTGGACCCCACTGAAAAAAATGTTTATTTTATTTTTTTAATTTGATAATAAAAATATTTTTTGAAACTATTTGCACATTAATTAAGATTAAGTCTTTTTTTTTAAAAAATATATATTTTAATAAAACATCTTTTATATTTATTTAATAAATTAATAAATTCCATATAATGCTAACCCAATAAAAAAAAAAAACATTTTTTGGACCACCATGCAAACCCAATAATCAAATAAGATGCCTGCTGCCTATTTGATGTAGGGACGCAATAGTGAATGATAGTCGCTGATCCCATTTAAGTTTGTTTTTCTAAGGAAAAAAATTCTCAAAAAGAGGTGCAAACAATAGAGAGTAAATTATAAATTAGTCCTTTTAGTTTGAGAAATGAATTGATTAGTTCATTTTGTTTCAAAAGATAATATTTAATGCTTATATTTTTTAGTTTCTTGTAAATTAGCCATTTTTGCTCCTTTTTTATTTATTTCAATTTTTGTTTTAAGAAATATAAAAAATAAGTAAAAAATAGAAAAATTGATGAAGAAGATAACATTTTATGAAATAAACATTGCTAACATTGATCAAATGATTAAATAATTAATTTTTCAAACAAGAGATACTAATTTATTTGTTTCTTGTAAATACATGGACTAATTTATAATTTACTCAAAAAATAGAATAGCTGTAGTTTTGTTTCCATCTCTTTCGTGGCATGGAATTTTTATGATTGAAAAAATTAGTGAAATTTATTTTCTTGGTAGAATCCAAAGCAAATATGTTATATTTTTTTCGACTTATGAGAATGGTTGTTCAAAATGTTAAAAAAAACAAAAACAAAAAACAAAACTGTCAATAATCAAGCCCAAGTACCTATTAGAATATTTCTTTATCTGTCTTTCCTTTCATAGTTTAGATTTAAGGTGATATTTTCTCATATTTTATTCCCTATTTCAAGTTTGCTTGTTTAGATTTTACAGTGTTTTGTATTATTTCCAATAATTAAAGTTGAATTTTGTAAAATTCATTTGACAAAGTCTAAATTGAATATGGATCTTGTTACTGGGAAATTAAATTATTTGATTTGATTGAACTGCTTGAGGGAAGGTCATGCTATATTGTTATTCAAATATCTCTTTTCATCTTTTTCCATCCTTAATGGCAATTCTTTTTACTGTTATTTTTTTAATTTTGGTATTTATTAATTAAATCGAGATCTAATTTAAGCAACAATCATGCTAGGAGATTTGAAAGTTATAATTCCAATATATATTTTGATCCCAGGAACAAAAATACTCGGTAAATATTTGGACCTGCCACTACTTTTTTTTTTTTTTTTTAATTCCATCCCATGCTATTAATCTGATGCGTAAGGTTGGTATAATTACTCAAAAAGATTTTCGCATATACAAAGATTTAAATTCAAAATAACTTATTTAAAGAACTAAAACTCTTTCCATTCAAGTTAACCATTTTAAATGATCTACCACGACCTTTGATTATACATTAATGTTATCCATATCTCAATGGAAACCAAAAGTATATTAAAAAAAAAAGTTCTTGTCAATTCAATTGCCAGTAAATTATAAATTAGTTTTTCTAGTTTTAATAAATAAATAAATATTTTTTTATTTAAAAAATTAATTATTTAGCCATTGTGTTTTTAAATTTACTTATAACTTTATTTTTTAAATTTATTTTGATTTATTTTTGAAGGAAAAAAATGAAAATATTAATGAAAAAATAAAATATTTGATAAAATAAAAGTAATATTAATTTGTTTTTGAAAAATATTGATGATCAACACCGGTTAAAAAATTAAATAATAACTTTAAAAATAAAAAAAACTAATTAATTTCGTTTTTGAAATTAGAAAGACTAATCTATCATTTACTCATTCAAAGGCCAATAAACCTCAGTTATGAATTTGTAATTTTTGTAAACGATCATACACATAAATTTTTTTTAGCACTCGATCAATTGAAATGTTGGCGAAATTGAATACACGTACGAAACCTCCATTAAACACCACTTTACTTCTTTTTTTTTTAAAAAAAAAAACAACAACAACAAGAAGACGTCCAAAAAAAAAAAAAAAACACATGTATGTTATGAAATAATGAATGTCTATCATTATGTTCATCTACTTTTCATATCCCTACTACTCATGATTTTTAACATGATTCAATTCATCATTCAATATGAGAAATTGAAAGGGCAATGCAATAGATTATTCATAGTTCTTCCAATTCTCTTCTCAAATTTGAAGCTCTATAAATAAGCTTCGATTGCTCATTAGTTGGTGTACAAGTTTTTTACAGAGAATAAGAGAAACTTTCAAGCTTCTTATCATTCGTATTCATATTGTAGTGATTTTATTTTCTTGTCATTCTTTTCTTTATTTCTCTTATTATTTTTATTTCTTTTATAACAATGTCAAGCATATTCATAAATTTTATAAGAGGACAAAACTAAGAAAATTACCAAGGTGGGGAAAAGGGGACGTATACGTGTGTGAGTTCCTGGAGGTGGGATTGATTAGCTATATATATCTATCATAAATACATCTGTCAAGCCCTGTCTATTTATAATTAATTTTTTTTATGAATTATTTGGATCATGATTGATGGTTATATGATTTTAATTGATTAAAATTTTCAAAACCTTATTGTCTCAGCTAAGATGTAGGGAGTGATTTCAGACCCATTTGCTTGGTCCCCTACCCTTCGTGCGGTCCCAAATTCAACGACATTAACTTGCATGGTTTGCGTGAAGATTAACTTGGTCCCCGCTAATTTGATTCCAAATACATCAATTTAGTTTGATTAGGTTTATAGATTGAGTTACTTTCGCTCCCTTGCTTAATGCATAATTAATTGGCACGGAGGGTTTATTCGATTCCTTTATCTTAATTTCAAAATTTAAATGTATTCTTTACATGATCAAGTTAGAAACGATAAGCTTCATCTCTTTCTTTTTCTTTTTTTTTTGTCCTGAAAACGGACAAGAGATTTCATTATTATAAGTTATGTGAAATTTTATAATACTTAAGAAGTAATTAACATAAATTACTTCATAAAGAGATATATATATATAAAAAAATAAGATTAAGAAAATTTTTAAAAAATTTTGAATCAATATGAAAATCTTTTTATTATTTTTTATGAATCCGTATATATCTCTCTTCTCTCAAAAGTAATCACATAAAATAACTAGTATACATATATCCTAGTTATTACTTAAATATTATAAAATCATCATTAAAACATATTATGGAATGGAAATAAAATAAGCCAAACAACAGAATAAGAAATAATTAAAAACTTGACCAAATCCTCCAGCAGTCTAGCAAGTCGAACTGGACTAAGCCAGATGACAGAATTAATGAGGATTAAAAAACAAAATACTAAGCACGTATTGGATTTACACAAGCAGACTGTAGCAAACTAATTATTCTCCTGGAGCAACAAACAAAACATCATAGGTTGTGATCAGCTGGGGCCTTTGAGATGAGCAGGCAAGCCAATTTTCTTTTGGACCCGAGCTATTTGGTTAAGTGTGCTCCATCGCCATTAACATGGCCATAGGAAACAATGACATGTTAGCCTAGGCAAAGAACCATCGATACTTAATCAACTTTTACGCACGCCACCTCAACTTTTCCAGCTTAAATTGCATTTTATGATCGGAAATAGTGATTAAACAACTTGTTAAAGATGGCTGGATAATAATATATACGTAAAATGTTTCTTGAGTGCTCTTTCTCCTAACCTGGTTCTCCTTGGTTAGTTGCCAATTTAGAACCAATAACACTACTAGTAATAAAAATTTTATAATGTATCAATAAGTTGTTGTTTCAATAAGAAGCGAATTGGCTTCAAATGAATTTTTATTAATATATAGGATTTAAATTTTAGAATCGTATTTATTGAGAGAGATAATTTTATCATTCAACTCCAAACATGATTAATTATATCTCCAATGCCAATGCAAGATGAAGATACTTAGATAAAAAAATAAAAATTATAATGTACATACAGCCTTAGTTGATCCATGTTACCAATATACAATCAAACTTCTTAAGAAAACCAAGGGTATATAAGTTTGCTAAATAAAGTTAAGTAAAATTAATAATGAATAGAATTACAAAGGAAAGGGATGCAAGATTGGCACAGGACTAGTTAAAAAAAATTGTAGTACAAAAGTTCCTAAAAGAACAAAAAAACAAGAAGAAATGACTTGCAAAAAATAACTTAATTTTTTTTTCAACTTTTCCTAATTTTCGTTGCATTTCCGATTCAAATCATACCATATATATATATATATATATATATATATATATATATATATATATATATATTTTAAAAAAAGTTTTTATTAACATTTTTTTTATGTATTTTTTATTCAAATGTTTTATTGAATTTTTTATTAGGTAGTAAATTTTTCACAATTACATAGACTTAACGATAATATTTAATGCTTTTACATATAAAAAAGAAGATAATAATTAACACTATTGTTCATCCATCCAATAAAAGAATGTAAAAAGATCAAAAACCAAATGTGCAGTTATGATAATAATTAAAAAATAAATAAAAACATTTAAATACAAAATTAAGAGTAAAAAAACCTTTGCTGCCATTAACCCACTCTTACAATAATAGAGATTATGAAGTAAATTCGGTTAATTGTTCTCACTCTGGTATAAAAGTGAGACCTATGTAGGAGGGACCGCAGGGTTGCCGAACGATTTGTCGTTGCAGCAAAAGAACGGAGGGGTTCCAACTTCAAACTCCAAACAGGATGCATGGGCCGTGAATTTTGGGCCAAGACAAGCCCTTTTTTTTCTTAAACATAACATGGGCTATTTAGTATTTATTAAGTTTCGAAACTTGCTGCCGCCGGGGACGAGGCGAACCGCAAGTCATTTTCGGAGAGAGGAAGGGAGGAATGGGTGCAGTAGCAAGAAAAGGGATGCTAGTGTACAAGATTTACAGAGCATTCAGCTACGTTTTATCACCGCTTCTGCAACTTCACCTACGTTGGCGAAAAATCCGAGGTCTCGAGCACCCAACCCGTTGGCCCGAGCGTTTGGGACGGCCTTCCCTCACTCGACCTCCTGGCCCTCTCCTCTGGTTCCACGCTGTTTCTTTAGGTTAACAATACGATGCCAGAAGAATTCCTTTGTTTAAATTAATAAAAGACAAGTTATAAATGCTGTTGCTGCTGTATTTGCAGGTGAAGGAATGGCTGCGATTCCAGTGATTAAAGAATGCGTTAAGTGGAGGCCTGATTTGAACATTTTGTTGACAACAACCACCATCTCTGCTTTGTAAGTAGAAGACAAGAGACGACACTGTTTTTTTTTTTTTTTTTCTGATTAAAATTGCTTCATTTTAGTATCTAATGTGAGAGGATCAGAATGCAAAGCATAAAAAATTCAGTTAAAATTTATTCTTTTTCTGGCTGTCCTTCTTGTGCAGTGAAGTTATAAAGAATCAGCTTCCTGCTGGTGTCTTATATCAGGTACTTTTTTGGAGATTTAATTCCTTTGAATTTTTATCCTAATGTTTTTCTAATTTTATGTGTTCACGCATTTGTTAAGATAAAATGTGGTTTGGGATTTTCATTTGTTCATTTTCCGCAAGATGAGCAGCTGGAGAAGCTGAAATTGGTGTGCATTGGTATTTAAAAAGAAAATACCGTGCTCTCTTATGATGTATTCAATCTTGCTAATTGAACCAGTTTTCTCCGATTGATATCCCTGCTGCTATGGATGCTTTCCTTGGCTATTGGAACCCAAGTGCTATCGTGTTACTAGAGAGCGAACTGTGGCCAAATCTTATTATGAGTTCTTCAAGAAAGGGTGTAAGTTATCTCTTCCTTTCAACCTAGATGATGATTAATTAAAAGCATAGTTTGGTTTCCTGAAAATGGTTGACTAGGTACATAACTGCTTATTTCGACCAACTAATTTTTCCTTTATTTCATTTTATAGCATTTCTCTGGGCGCAAATTCTTATTCGGTTTATTCTCATGCATGACAGATTTCACTGGCCTTATTAAATGCTCGAGTTTCTATGAAATCCTTCAAGTTATGGTCGGCTCCTGTGCTTTTTCCACTCATTTCGTTGATGCTGTCCAAATTTTCCATGATTGTCCCACTGGTAGGTATTCCTATATGTTTTATGTTGTTTCTGTCTTTCGTTCTGTCTCACTTTTCTTGTTGTTTTCCTCAGAGTTCTATGCAGGCAATCCGTTTCCAGCTTCTGCAGGCCCCACCACTTATCATCAACTTTGCTGGTGACTTGAAATACGGTATGCAGATAAACTCTTGAGGAGGAAGTTCTTTCATTATTGAATAGGTTGGCTAAAAATGGAGTCTTAATAACTGTCAAATTTGCCCATGCTTCGGATATTTACTGGTAACAGCCATTCTGTCTTGTGTAACCCACATGATCTTGTTTGGTTTTTATCCAGTGAATCTTCACAGAAAGAAGAAAGTTTTAAAAACATATTTTCATAATTTTATAATACTTTTTAAAGCATAAATAAAAAGCACTATGAAAAAAGGATGATGAATCTTAACCTGCTTTGCTTATATGATTTCTTTTAGAAGCCATATTTACCAAGTAGCTTCCAAAACACAGAGAAAGCACACAATTAGAACATAGATAATACAATACCAGAAACTTCTAGTGTATGCAACTTAATACCAAGAAACAAAATAAAGGCATTTTCATCATGAAAATTACCTTCTATTTATGCTAAAAGATTTTTTTATTCCTTTTTTGCTTTCAATACTCGGGTCTCAGACCTCTGTCAAGAAAAGGGGTAGACTATGGTTGCTCTCTTACCTTCCTTAATCCCATCTTGGCCTTCCCTTTAACTGAAGTTGGCATTCATAGGGATAATAGCTGCAATGGAAAACATAAACACACGTTTTACATGCAAAAAACTCAACAGACACAAACCTGGAATAGAGTTGTGCAAAATCTGTGTTGGCTTCTGTTTTAATGGTCTGAACTTTGTGCTTGATTTCTGAATTATCAGGCCTTCCTGTCTTTATACACAGGTGCCTAGATTCGAAGGATTTTTCTTTCTAGTTTATTTTTTCTACTGTGAGAAGTTGTAACTCAATATCATAAAGCAGTCTCTGAATTATCTGTACTAGAACTTGCATTAAGGGATATTATTATTTTATTCTAGTATTAATATTAATGTTAATGTTAGTAGTAGGAGTCATACTAGGTAAAATATTTTGTATGTTCTAGTCAGATGAGAAAAAAATAAAGCCTTCTTTTGTCTTCACAATCGTTTCAACTCATTCCCACTTATACATGCGGTACCCATTAAAAAGGATAGATACATAGTTTCTGATGATTGGATTTTGAAATCCAATCGTTGCCTATAAGTTTGTTATTTTCCGTTTCTATATTATTTGTTGTGGAAATTGTGAAGACAAAAAGACAGCTATCCTAGTCTGAAGTTATCATTATTTCTTAACAGCGGTAGAATATGATGCTTCTAAGGAAGAGTTAGGGAGCATAGATGATCTGAAGGTACAGCTTGGGCACAGCAAAGTTTGGATGGCTTCTTCCATTCATAGGGGTGAAGAAGAAGGTTAGTTCCTATTATTCTGCAACTGTTGCATTTTGTAATTCTTTTTCCATTTTCAGGGTCATTTGTTTGTCACAATTTTAAGTGAAACTTGCATCCTTTTTTATGACATCGGTGACTGTTATTTTTGGAAAGTTTCATACTACTCAAATATCTCTAGCTTTATGTTTGAAATATGCAAGCAGCAGAGTTAGCATGTTTCTTATAGTTTGTTGCAGTGAAGGATGCCTATTTTTTGAGTACTTTTTTTACTAAAAATTAAGCGTGCATGATTTGTTGAAGGACTCACAACTGCCACTTGCAGTTATGCTAGGAGTTCACAAAGTGCTCGAGCAAGTGTATACTGATCTGGTCACTATTATCGTACCTCGTTATCCACAGCATGGAAAAGATATAGCACGAGTATGATTTTGATTTATGATGCAATTTTTTGAGTTCAATAAAATACGTTTGTGCGTGCACATTGGCATGTTGAGGGGATGTGCTCCTTTTGTAACTTCTCTTGGTAGTTTTTTTCACTTCACAACTGTGCATATATATTTATGTGTAACATTTGAGAAAATAATCTTAAATGTGATAAGAAGTCACAAGACAGATTAGACATTTATGCCTTGCACAAAATTTTGAAAGACAACTATCTCTTAAGTTGGGGAAAATAGTTAATTATAACTTATAGGTCCTATTACCATAGGGCTGGTGGGATTTGCGACGTTCCATCCATGGTGTCGAATTCGGCAAACTGATATATTCTATTGTGTCACGATCAGAGTGGTAAAACTTTTATTAATAATTGAGAAACTGGTGAGATATTTAATATTAGTTTCATGTTAGAGGAGGCATCATGGTTGTCACTTGTAAGTGTTCAATTCTGGATAATAATCTGCCACACAGCTATGTAGTTTAAAATTTTTCATAGGATTAGCAATATATATCAGTAGTAATGAACTCGTGATCAATTGAGAATTTATGAGCAAACAAAACAAAATAGGTTGCTTTGTTGACATGAATATTCTGTAATTCTTTGTACCTTAATCAAATTGGTTGGCAATAAAATGGCTCCTTTGCTGTGTTTTGAGGGATGCAGAAATTACAGAAAGAAGGGCAGCATGTTACTTTAAGGTCTCAACATCAAAGGATCATACCAGGAAGAAATATATATGTGGTGGACACATTAGGTCTGCAATTATTTTTTACTTTTTTGATTTACTTTTTCTAGAATTTTACTTTTACTTTTGGATGGACTATTTAAGAATTGAGGACATCTTATTGATGCCATTATTTACTAACCTATCCTGCTTTTAGCATGATCCATCACATTCTTATTACTTCAGGTGTCTAATGAACCCTGTCAATTGTCTACTATTCGGCTAATCTGTATAAACACTCCTGGATCATAGGGTGTTTTATTGGATCCTTTTGATTGATTTCATCCATTTGTCCCTGTAACGATTTACCCTTCACAATGTCCTGCATTGTAAACACCCCTCTCCTCTCACTCCTGATGATATGCTCCAAATTGTCTTACTGGTATGCAATCTAATTATCTATAATTAGTTGCATTAAGGATAGGACTGAATGGAATATGGTCTGCAGGCTTAGCTCTGCATCGAGTCACTATTATGCCAGACTCCAGCCAATTTGTTGGAGAGTTCATGACTCAATAGATACGCCTGACCATATAGATTTTGTAATTATAGCTTTAACTCATATGTTACATAATGAACCAAAACAATATTGGTTAGCTTTATCCATGGTAAGACCTAACCTAAAGCCCAACTATTTCACAGGGTTGGGCAAACAGAGAGTTGGAACAAGTCCAATATGCTTTTGCTTGGCAGACCCTGTATCAGAATTTGCCACCTCTATTGTTTTTTCTGGGGAAGATTTAATTTAGAATGCAATTATCTTTTGTAGGTGAGTTGAGACACTTGTACAGGCTAACTCCAATAGCTGTAATTGGAGGTTCCTTCTTCCCAGGATTAGCTGGCCATAACATATCAGAAGCTGCGGCAGCTGGCTGTGCTGTTTTGACTGGTGAATATTTTCTGTCACAGGCCTTATCTGTTACCCCTTTTGCACGTAACATACCGTTGTCAAGAGGCTTTACTGTTTGGCTCTTTTCAGGTTCTCATGTTGGGCATTTCTCTCACATGATAAAGGAAATGCGACGATTAAATCCATTATCAGTGCTGCAGGTTTGAAGAATCCTTTATTTTTTTCTGTAACCTTTTAAAATTATACATTAGATGGAGACAGAGACTATGTTTCTATTATACTTTCTGAAAAGATAGGAAATGCCTCTGGAATATGGCATGTGATAAAAAAATAATTAGGTTCAGAGAATCTTCTATGAGACACCAGAAGATAGATATGGATAATTATGCGTCCACTAAATATCTCATGTTTAGCCACTTCATACTTTCATTGGTTTTGCATTTTGTGTTTACAAGTTCAACCTAGTCAGTTTAGCATTAAACTATGTTTTCCTTCAATTTGTCATAACACTTATAACCAATTTCATGTGCCAAGATATCTATCCTTAGGTAAAATAATTGGCTGTAATTAACATAGCAATCAATTTAGTCGTGAACATTACAAGACAACACCCACATAGGACACAATCTGAACCTGTGGCTTAAATTTGTTGATAAATACTGATTCTGTGAGATCATATAGAGGGCTCCTATACTAGGTGTCCTCATACCTTGGAAGAAAAGGAAAGTGGTGGCTACTTCATGAAAAAAATGGTTCTGTAAGTTCTTTTTGTTTATGTACTTAGGTCTTTAGTTGTCATTGCCCATGCAGGTGCCTGGAAAATTAGAGCTTGAAGAAGCTATGTTGAAGTTCTTTAGTGATGCCAAAGTGCTAGAAGCACGGCGAACGGCTGCAAAGCAAGCATGTCATGCGTTGTCTAATGGTATCGTCACCAATGTTTGGAACCTGCTACATTATCATGTTTTGAAACAGGCTTTGCTAAAAGGTAGATGAAGACTGGTGCACGAGAAAACAAATTTGACCATGCAGGTTGTAGCTGCCTCCAGCCTCAAAATGTTTCGCAATAAAAAATGCCATCCATTATCTTTAAGACAAGTAAGCAAACCACATTACAATTTTCTGCGCATATTGTCGATTGAAATTTATGTTGCAAATCACAAAACATTATCATGTTCCTTCCCAGTGGGCACTTATATTTGTTCCATCTTACCTGTTACATTTGATTTGAAAAAGTTTTCCCTCTATAAAATGGTGAAAATAAGTCTTTTCAGTCATCAAGGTATCACCGTAAGCCAGTTTCCCTTTTTCTCAAAACCAAAAATCTCTGGATACCTTTATATTTGCTAATAATGCATGGAATATAATTAGCCCCCATCTCTTATATTTTGTGTGTTTCTTTTCTGCTTTTCATTGAATTTCATGCACTTGTCACTCTTTCACATTTTCCTCTGTGTATCCATCCACTAGCTTTTGATTTAGAGGCAAGTTTGCGTTTTCCTTCGTTTCTCTCTTCTTTTTGCTTTTCCCCTTTATTTTGGTGGAGAAGCAAGAGGGGGATAATTTGTGAATGTTTTTGCTGGATGATTTCTTGTTATTGAATCTTGAGGCTGCAATTTAACTCCAATCTCAACTTATATGTTGCTCTGCAACCAATAGCTTGGTCAAAATCAATTTTAAATTTAGCCTATGCTGCAGATTTCCAGTTCTGGAGCTCAAAGAACACGGTTGGTTCATGGTTGAAAGACAGATATGCAGAGAGCATTGTATATGATAGTCCAATTGTTGGTATGGTCTCAAAAATCTTTTCAAGTATGCATATCTTTTATTCTACCTGCTGGTTCGGCAGGCTTGTGGAAGTTATGACGGATCATAAGTTGTTCCATTCCTGTCAACTTTATTTTACCTGATTTTCTGGATCCCAGATAATGTTATGCATACGAGAGTTTCTTGCCAGTGTAAAAAATAACCATGATAATGATGATAAAAGCTTCTTACTACTTTAGTGAATGTAACCTTAACGGGCATGCAGAGTATTGGATTACATAGACTCAGTCTTTGTTGACAAGGCCAATCAAATTATTTGGGGCTTTGGGCCACTACACTAACCCATTGGTGCATGTGTGCATATTCTATTATGTACACTGTGTCCCTGTTGCATTCCCTCCTGTTTTCAATTTACTGATGTTTTCTACAATGTAGCCCTTCTCATGAAATTGGGGTGGGGTGCATTTCTACTATGTCTGCATGCTTGTCTGATTCTGTTTTTGCATGTTCAACTGTCTACATGTGAGATCAAGTTTGAAATATTTCACCTCTGCATGTTCAATTTACTGATTTACTTTCATTTTTGTTGTGATCATGTAAAAAGCCAAATTTTAAACAAATGCTGAATTTGGCATTGATCCTTTATCTACTGTGTTGCAGCAGGAAAAAACAATACTTTTAAGTCCCTGGCTGTGGCCTGAGTAGCAAGACAACCAGAACTCCTGTTTCCATTTCCTCATAAGCAGTGCAGCTGCTGCCCAAGCATGGGGTCCTCTTGCGAAGCCTCGGAGAAGTGATTATGGATCTTTCCCCAAGCTCAATCCTTTATCTACTTTGTTATAATCACACGGTGTAGCTTTCATGACTATACTCTTTAGCGTGGTTGATCTTGCAGCTGCCTGAAAATTGAGCGGTTCAAGTAATCTGCTCTTACAACAAACCTTTTCCCCGCTTCCCCTACCATGACATCTAATGACCAGGAGGGACATCTGAGGGCAGTTTGTTCTCATCGCCTCCAGCTAACTTCCACAACATGTAAGAGATTCTTGCAGCTTTATGATGTTGATGTTGATGTTGTCACGTGGGAAGCTCTGTTGTGTAAGCCATGAAATGAGTTTTCAAGCATTCCTAAGGATTTACATGTCACTGTTAGTCGGCCAAATTTGAGGTCCTAACTAAGAAGCTGGGTTGCTGTGTTATCAAGGGTATGAAATCTTCTATCAATTTAGAGCTTGGTCCCCGTGGAGTAAAATGAATTACGAATGAAATGTTAATTTTGGAACTTTTACAAGTACGAAGCAGTACTAAATTGCAGCAAGAACAACTACAGAATGGCTTTATCTCCACTGGATGAATTTTCTTGTAGGAGTAACTAACTAGTTAGTAGTCGTGTTATTTTGCGGATTAAACAAAACAGATAAAATTAATTAAAAAATTAGTTTAGTGTAACAATTTGCATTATATTATGGGTTTAATAAAATATATTGAATCAAAAGTAAAATAATAATAATAATAATCAAAGTTTGTTTTTAATTTATATTTTTTATTTTTTCTAAATTTTGCAGTTAAAAAACACAATCTATGCTTACTTCTATATAGAATTTTAAACAAAAACTTTTAATCCGAAATTATTAGAAGTACCTTAATATTTATTTTCATAATATTTTATTAAAAATAAAAGAATAATTAATATAAATTTTTTTATATATAAAGATTACTAATCGATGAGAAGATTATTTAAAAATATATATATAAATATTGGAGAACGTACGGTACACAGTGTGCCCATACATTTATGGAGACGGAAAAAAAATAAAATTACATAGTTTAATGATTTGCCGGGGCCCTAAGTCAAGCAACTCTCTACATCAAAATCAAATGATGGAGACGTTTGACAAATGGGTAACATAACATGACAATAAATGCCGTAAAAAAAAAAAAAAACTTTTTTGGCCCAAAGTTCAAGAAAGAGACGAAAAAGTAAGCAAAGGAAAAATAATATTTTAAAACATATTACAAAAAGCACGTGGAGAATGGGGTTGCATCGAATAACGGGTGCCACGCGCACTGCCAATCCAACCATTAGATGCATGTAAGGAGGGCCAACTAGTAAAGTTTAGTGACAGTTCATAGCTGTTTGAATCTGTCTGAACGAAAAAAGAACAGTCTTTTATGCAATGTTCTTTGTTGGGTGGAGGGCAACCCGGAAACAGCCATTTTGTGGATTGTGTGCTCCATTAATCTCATGTTTTCTTCAACCATTTTGACTTTGTTTTAAGTTTGGCGGCTTAATTAGATAGATTAATCAAACCGTCAATCTCTTTAGGAGTTAATCTCAATCACCAATCTGTGCACAGATCTTAGCTGTCCATCCAATTGGGCCTTTTATTTGGCCATTGACTTGGACATAAAAGAGCCACGTTTCCACCGTTAGTCAACCAACGAGGTTGCTCGAATTCAAATTACCACCTTCTTCAGAAACCTTAGCCGTTGGATATAGCGACTTTTTGGATACCAAACGAAACATCTTAATTTTTTTAAGTTTTTCTTAATTAAATCTTGCATTAAAATGGTATTTGGGAGTTGAAAATAAGTAACAAGTTCATCGCTGTTGCCTTGGCTTTTTTTCTAGTTTGAAAGTCTGAAGAACTAAAGAGAGCAGGAAAAAAGAAAGTCCTGCTGGAGGATTGACCACATCTAAAAATTAAAATTTTCAATTTTTAGTAGGATTTTGTTGTTGATTTAGAGTTTTTGAACTTATTATTATTATTACTATTTGGTAAATCCACTATTTGGACCTTATATTTTCATATTTTTTTTAAATAAGTTTCAATCTTTCTAACTTGATCAATTAAAGACGTATATTTTTAATTTTAGCTAATTGAGTGTAATTTTACAAAATCGATCATTTTTACTTTTAAAAATCGAATAAAAAACAATATAATTGTATAAAATGAGATTCACATGCCATATTAATACACATATATATTATATTTTTATTTAATCTAGTCTATAAAAATTATTATTATCGCAAAATTGAAATGACTGAAATTATAAATGCATTTGTTTAATTGATCTAATTAAAAATATAAAAATTTATTTGATGGATTTACGGTAACAAAAGATGCGAATAACGGGTAGCCATAAAAATACCTTGGATTTCCACATGTGTAATAAATTCAACTTTAATTTTTTTTTCATTCTATTTTTAAAGATCGATTTTAGCTCTTTGGAACTAAAAATAAGCTTGGTAGGCGATCGTTTGTCCTTTTGCAAAGCCATCAATCCCACCGTGAATGTTCCTTTTTTCTTGAGTTTATATTTTTTACAAATGGTTTGTTAATTTATTTGTTTTGCAGAATTTTTGAAAAAGTAATTCTTCCTCTGTTTTTCTTTTTCCTCCTTTACACGTTTTTACCTTCCGATTTTCGCATATGCTAAATTTATTACGTTTATGTTAACACTAATTGATTGGAAACCTTGTTAAATATACTCTGTAAATTTATATAGTTTTTTTCTTTTTTACAATAAAAATATTTTTAAATTAATTTATACATCAATTAAGATTAAATAATTCTAAAACTTACTCTTCATATCAGTCACGTACATTTAGATAAATTTAATAAATATTTTTATTTATTGACTTTAAGATTTAAGTTTAAAAATCAAATAAGAGAGCAAACTTTCTTAATCATGAGATGATGGAAAATAAAAAGCAACAATGAGAATTGATATTTATATATATAGAATTTTAATATTGTAAAATTATTCTATATTTTATTATTTAAAAATATCAATATTTATTATTTAGTAATTAAATTAGGGTTTTGGTTTTCTTATTGAATTAAGACATATTAGGTTTTTCTGTTTTGTTTGGTTTGGTGCCTATAAATGAGCACCAACATATTAGTTATTTTAGAATGTATTATTATTGATTGAAATAAAGATTTTGAAATATTCTCTAAAATCGGGTATGTCTTTCTTAGTTTTGAACGCCAATCCCGCCACCAAATGTTGGATAGTAATAGAAAGCCACAAAAAAAAGCTGTTGGATTCTTTTTACTTTCAGCGACATCAATCAGCCTTACCATGCACTAATGCCCCCACCATGTCCCCTAGACAATTGACTTCCGATTCAACAATACCATTTCTTTTTCTTTTTCTTTTTTCCCTTTTTTTCTTTATTAGACAGCCAGGATGTTTTTGAATCAGTTGAGGTTACATTGAAAATAATTTTTTTATTTTTAAAATTAGATGGATCTTTTTTTTCAAACACACTTTAAGTATATTATGTACTTATGTAGTATCTACTGCATGTTTAAATAAAAAGGTTAATATCTTCGCTTATTCTTTTATTATATTAAATTTCTAGTATGTATCTAAATTAAATTCAAAAGGTTTTTAATTTATTCATGTTATTTATCTGTTTTTTAATATATTGTTCTAATAAAAATTAATTTTCATATTAATAGATATAGATCATTTGTATAAAAAAAAAATAATTTTGTCAAATTACATGTTTAATTTGATTAGAAATTTTAATTAAAAAAATAAATTAAAACCCAACTCAAATAACAAAAACTGATTGGAAGCGTATTAAATTTAGAAACAGATTAAAAATTTTGCCTATTATATAAGAATAGGGATATTAACCCTAAATAAAATACCAAAAAACTAAAATGTGAGAGAGGAATAATATTAGGTTCCAAACGAGAAATGAGTAGATTGACAACCCAATTTTTTTTTTTTTTTTTTTTAAGAAAAAATGTGTGCAAATGGAATTATCAAGGAAAAAAATAACATACAAAAATCAAGCTGAGTGGTTATTGATTCAAATGCCAAACTTGCAGAAATATTATCTCTGTTGATTATTTTTCCAGTACAAAAAAGCCAACGTTTAAATGCATCACAATTTAAGTTATTTACCTCTTTTTTCTGGGATTAGTGGGTAGAGGATGCTCAGCAGCATACTTAAACTTTTGGGTTCATAGACTGGGTTCTGCTCCTATCAAATATGACCCAATCCAGGTCCAAATCAAAGATATTTTAATCCTTATAAGCGCGCTAATGAAGTGGCCTTTTTTTGAAGAGTCGTCTTTTTCAGACAACAATCAAAATTGTGAAGAGTTTTGGCTTAAAATGCTTGGAAAAGCTACCATGGACAGTGGACCTCTCACTCTCAGTCCACGCCAACAAGATTATAGTGTACATGATCAGAAAATTATAGTTAAGCATATAGTAGAAATCATGGGGATAAATGGAATTGAAAATATTTATGTGATATTCTGGTTTATTATTCCTGGTTGGCGCCGATGGTACAGCAGCTTTGCTTCCTTATGACATAAAGTTGTCATCTTTTTTCCTTCTACAATATGGAAAAGAAGGGAGGGGCAAGCAAATCAAATGATGGAGCACCCCTTATCTCTTTACGAAAAGTGAAAAAAAAAGGACTCATAAAATAGTCTAAGAAGAGATTCGAATTTTACAATTTTGAGGCTCTCAGTCAATGCATGGATTTCTTACCTGCTACCACACTGAACAAGTAACACGTTATTATCTGGTGGTCCTTTCTGCTGTAGAGTTTCACTTGGAAAATGTTTTCCCCCAAAACACAACAAATTAAAGGAAAGGAAAGTTGACCTAATTGTCATGATTTATTTGCATTGCATTGCATGTTGCTAGCAATTATTGGTTGCGATAAACAGAGATGCAAAACTTGACCCACTAATCCCATTTGTAGTATTATGCATGGAGTGTATCTTTAGAGGTATTGTAAAATACCTGACCAAATGCACCGACACTACAAGAAAATTCTCTAAATTGTTGTATTTTGGGGGAATAAGACAAGTTGATCCGGCATTTTTCCATGATAAGAAATTGCATATCATCTTCACTTGTAGCTTAGAAAGTAAGCCCAAAAGGATATAATTGATTATATACTAATGTCCATGGTCTGATGCTAGTTTATAATACAAAATGAATTCTACTTATTTATCAAGATTCAAGAAGAAAAGGCCTTGTGGAGCTTGCAGTTATATATATGGATATATATATATACATACACTCTTGTGGCCGGAGAGGAGGACAGAAAGCTTATGTTCATGGCTGGAGACAGGCAAACCAGATTGAAGTTCAGATAGATGTCAAGTTACAGATGCTTTAATCAAATGTACGAACTACTTACTATTAAGCTATATATGACCATACTGATCTACAGATTCTCTCTGAAACAAATGATGTGCATCTGTAAAGTTGCATTCCTTTTAATAAAGTGGGTTTTTGCTTCTGCATTATTGTGATAAAAGTTGCTATATACCACAACTAGTAGTGTATATAATGAGGGCACTCTGCCTGTCTCATGGTAATCAAAATCTGGTCAAAATTGGTGCTAAGGATTTGAGATTAAAAGGGTACAACAGGCAAGAAGAATAAAGGTATAGCAAGATCCAAGAAGGAGGACATGTATGCCAATCCCACACCCACTTAGACATAGGTGAAGAAAAAGCAGAAAAAAGGGCACTGCAATTTACTCATTCCAAATGGGAGGAGTGGAGAACAGCAATCATTCAAGCAACCACCTTAATGTCTCCTTTAATCATATTCCTTCTCTCAAGCATTAACAAAGCTACAATAATTAATTCTCCCCCACATCCTTCCTTTAATCATGCTTCCACATTTTCCATTCAAGATTGTACAGAAAACACAAGAATTGTCTCCTTCCTTCTCTCTGTATTTAAACTTTTTTTCTAAATCTAAAACAGATGAAGAAAGACAAAATAGAAGGAGAGAAAGAAATCAACTTTCCTCTTTCTTTGAATATTTTTAAAACACTCTCTTCCTTCACTTCACTCATTCTTCCCGCCTTTAGTCTAAACCCCAAAAGAAAGAAACAGCATGGAGACAATTTTTCTCCTCTATTTCACCATCTTTCTCTCTGTCCACACCTCGCTTACTGTTACTGCTGCTCCTCCAAATGACACAAATGCTCTTACTCTCTTCCGCCGCCAAACTGACACTCACGGCAACCTCCTCTCCAACTGGACGGGCAAGGATGCCTGTGGTTTCCCCACCAGGTGGCTTGGCGTTGGATGCTCCGCCTCCGGCCGTGTGGTTTCCCTTTCTTTGCCTTTTCTTTCACTCCGTGGACCCATCACTTCACTTTCTCTCCTTGATCAGCTTCGCCTCCTGGACCTCCATAATAACCGCCTAAATGGCACCATTTCCCCACTCACAAACTGCACTCATCTCAAGCTTCTCTACCTTGCTGGCAATGACTTTTCAGGTGAAATCCCACCCGAAATCTCCTCTCTCAAGCGTCTCCTTCGTCTTGATTTGTCCGACAACAACATACATGGCAAGATCCCCGGACAGTTGACCAATTTGACCAGGCTGTTAACACTCCGCTTACAAAACAATGAACTGTCCGGCCACATTCCTGATTTTTCTACATCTTTTCCAGATTTAAAAGAATTGAATTTGTCGAATAATGAGCTTTACGGACGGTTACCGGATAACCTATTGAAGAAATACACTGACCGAAGCTTTTCAGGCAATGAAGGTCTTTGCGGGTCCAGCCCACTGCCAGTGTGTTCCTCCACAGACAACAATGATAATCCAGTCACTTCAGATCAAACAGTACCCTCTAATCCTAGCTCCATGCCTCAAACCCCACTCCTCGGCAAAGATAAATCTCACTTGCATAAAGGGTTAAGCCCTGGTGCTATCGTAGCAATTGTGTTAGCAAATTGTGTAGCATTATTGGTGGTGATTTCATTTTTAGTTGCGTATTACTGCGGTAGAGATAGAAGTAGTGGTGCAAGTTCGAAAGCGGGTAGTGAGAGTGGAAAGAGGAGGAAGAGTGGGAGTAGTTATGGGAGTGAAAAGAGAGTGTTTGCAAATGGAGGTGGAGATAGTGATGGGACTAATGCTACAGACAGGAGTAAGCTTGTGTTCTTTGACAGGAAGAACCAGTTTGAGCTTGAGGAACTATTGCGTGCGTCGGCAGAGATGCTTGGGAAGGGGAGTTTGGGGACTGTTTATAAGGCGGTGCTCGATGATGGGTCTACAGTGGCTGTCAAAAGGTTGAAGGATGCAAACCCTTGTGCAAGGACGGAGTTTGAACAGTATATGGATGTGATTGGGAAGCTTAAGCATCCAAATATTGTGAGACTTGCAGCTTACTATTATGCTAAGGAAGAGAAGCTTCTCGTTTATGATTATCTTCCTAATGGGAGCCTGCATTCACTTCTTCATGGTTTGTGAATTTGCAATTCAATTGGATTTGAATGATTTTTTCATTAGTAGAATAGTCTCCTTTTCGATTATTTGTTTTTTTGTTAATTGTTGTGTTCGTGCACTCTCAGGGAATCGAGGTCCAGGGAGGATTCCTTTGGATTGGACAACAAGGATCAGCTTGGTGCTGGGAGCGGCTAGAGGATTAGCTAAAATCCATGAAGAGTATAGTGCATCAAAAATCCCCCATGGCAACGTGAAATCTTCTAATGTGCTCCTAGACAAGAATGGTGTTGCTTGCATTTCTGATTTTGGGTTGTCCCTGCTTTTGAACCCAGTTCATGCCATAGCAAGACTGGGAGGATACAGGGCTCCAGAGCAAGCAGAAATCAAGAGGCTCTCTCAAAAGGCCGATGTGTATAGTTTTGGGGTCTTGTTGCTGGAAGTTCTTACAGGCAGATCTCCTTCACAGTACCCCTCACCAACACGCCCACGCATTGAGGACGAGGAACAGGCAGTAGATCTTCCTAAATGGGTCAGATCAGTTGTCAAGGAAGAGTGGACATCAGAAGTATTTGATCAAGAACTTCTGAGGTATAAGAACATCGAAGAAGAACTTGTATCAATGCTTCATGTGGGATTGGCTTGTGTGGCTCCACAACCTGAAAAGAGGCCTACAATGGTGGAAGTGGTTAAGATGGTTGAAGACATTAGGGTGGAGCAGTCTCCTTTGGGGGAGGACTATGACGAATCTCGCAATTCGCTTTCACCTTCCCTCGCAACCACTGAAGATGGGCTGGCAGGATATTGACGTTTCATTAATTGCCTAAAACTAGCAAGTGTTGATTGCTTAATTTTCATGTTTGTCCTATCCTCTGTTTCATCTGCAGGCAGTATCTCCTTGTTGCTGGCTTTTCATAAGACCCTGAGATTGTATCATGTTTGTTTGTAAGATTTGTAGTCCTCAATGCCTCGCATTTTCTCGTTGTTGGAGGTGGGAGGATCTAATATCTCTTGCACCTGTCAACAACGTAGTTCTTCCTAGTCTTCTTCAATGTAAAATTTAGTTTTGGCATTTAAATTAATTATTCAGTCATTTCGGAGTAAATGTTTAATCTAGAGAATATTCCCAGCAGCTTTGCCTGAACCTTGGCCTATCCAAACGGTAAGGAGCAATTCGTTCATTGTTTTCATTCATCAGGCCAGGTAGAAAGAGGAATATCGAAGCTGTAAAATGACAACATTTGAGTAAAACAGACCTTGAAATGTTCTGAAAAGCCACACCAAGCATTCGAAGCACAAACTTTCACCTTTAAAAGAGTGCATGTCGCCTTTCTTTTTAGAATTTGTCATCCTTTGGACTTCTTCGTTCATACAAATTATACAAAGCAAACACTCTAGCTCGGTTGGGTCTTATTAACCATGTTTGACACTGTAGAGTTTTATTAATTTACAATATTTTTTTTCTTCCTTTCTCTCTTTATTGGAAGCAAGAATTTCCTCCAGAAACAATGTTGAATGCCTTCTGTTGTCAAAGCTGGTGGACCAAAATTATAGTGTAAACGTCATTTACTGCTTTCATGTTAATTGTCATAACAACATTAATATTGTTTGCTATGGAGGTTCCTAAGTTCAAAGTTCGTCTTGGTTGGTTCCATATCCATGCTCTGGGAACATCGGACTCCGATACCGGGGGAGGTTCCCAATCAACATACTTGTAGACTCAGTGCAATCAAGAATTCCCTTCCACAACCCCCTGCTGCTAACACAGAAAGCTCAAAGTGAACTCATGAAGTTGAGATCCTCACCCTAGGAACTAGATCCAGGTTTATCGACAATAAAATTCCATCCATATGTAATGTGAGCTTCTCCTGTATAAGTCAACATTTTCCTGCTGCATCCAAGCATCGCATTTTGAACTGTCATTCTACTCGCTAATTCACAAAATTAATGATTTATAAACATAGCGTTCTTTGTGGTAAGATATAAACAACATAGCGTTCTTTGTGGTAAGAGGCACAGCTGAAAATCATATGCTTCTTCAAGTGTTAAATTAACTCACGAGTGCCATAATTTTTTAACTCTATATGTATCTATATTGATCTGCACACCATCTTCCATTGTTTTCTGGAGTGAATACGATTTACGAATCACGAGATACCAGCATTGCTGCAATGCAATATCACCAACTAGAACTAGTCAATCAACTCCGAATTGTCAGCAATTGGAGAGTTAGAAGATCCACCCTGACTTCTCACGTGCATCAAGAGAAACCTTTCAGCTCAACAGAAAGTACTTAAGGTGCCAGTAATTGTCCCAGAAGGATCTGTGTAAAAGCAGTATCTGGAAATAAAATATCTGGCACTGCATTAGAACAATGTTGTAGAAATTAGCCAATCCTTCCAGTCTGATCAATTAGTGTACCAACTTGCTCTCCGCATAATGCTTTTGAGATATTTCCGGGCTCAAGGAGGTTGAAGACCACAACTGTACAAAACGAAATTATTCATTCAGCATGGGATTCAATCTCCCAATAATGATCCAACAACAATACTAAATGGCTAAAATATGGCAATCTTATGTCAACAAACTGCAAAAACAACCCCTCCGCAGGAACAAGAAAATGAACTGATATGATAGTAACAGAAAAGGTGCGACAAAATTTACCAACCAGGAATGTTGTTCTCTTCGCAACAGGTCAGTGCCATCATGTCCATTGATGTCGCACCTCTGGAGACCAAGTCCCTGAAGGAGATGCGTTCAAATATAACATTACTGTCTGGGGAATGGCAGTCATAGACGCCATCAACATTGGTACCTTTAAGGACTGCCTCAGCATGAACTGAAGAAGAAAGGAGTGTCAAAGAAAGAAAAGATGAAATCTAAAATTACCCAAACACGATTGTGTGTGTGAGAGAGAGAGAGAGAGAGTGTGAGAGAGAACTATTTTTGCTACTGAATTAGACATACTATGCAAGAAATGCTAATCAGGCAGAAAGCATACTCTCTGAAGCTTGAAGAGCTGCAGCAGTGTCAGTTGAAAAGAGCGGATTTCCAGTGCCAGCACCAATGCCACCAAATATCACTACTCTGCCTTTCTCAAGATGCCGAATAGCTCGTTGCCTACTGTATGGTTCTGAAACCTCCTGCATTGCAAATGCAGTTTGCACACGTGTTTGAACACCTATCTTCTCTAACGCCGACTGGAGCAATATTGAATTCATCACACTTGCCATCATACTGATACAGATTACACAATGAATGTTCAGGTCATGATGAACCACAAATTCTGAGAATCATAAATATGTTCCTCAGACAGTAACGAGAAATTTGAGATCATAACCACATTCGGTTAGCAGTAAAGTAACAAATGGATGATTATCACTAAAGCAATGAAAAGATATCAGTAGAAGTTTCATGAAAGAAAAGGAAGCAGATGCTCACTGCATTCAACAAAAACTTAAAGTCAATTTGTTATATGACCATCATCCTATGTTCACTAACAGTAGAGGATTAGAATTGAACTGATTGTAACCTAGGATACTCATCGCCAATCTTCCCATCAATGTAATATCAATTTCATCCCTTCAAAATATCACAGATCCCTTCCTCCTTCAAATGACCACCCACGATATTTTTTAAGATAAATAAGAAAACCAAACAAATATTGGATGTAAAACCTGAAATCAGGATAAGTATTATTCATATATGGAGAATACTAGCATTAGGAGTGAATCACTTGCACACAGCATGACAGCTACAAAAGAGCTCTAATAAAAGCTTGGATTTCAAGTAGACTTGCACAGTATATTCTAGTTCTATAAGCCAAAGAAGAACCAAAAAAAAAAAAGAAAAAAAAAAGCAACACTAAACACATCGCAGTGGTTGGTACCAAGTGTAAATATACGAGGTCATAAACTATACGATATGAGGTTATAGTAAATACCACAGTGGGAAAGAGCAACAGACTGATTTGCAATCACAAGAAGGATAAAATTGCCCGTAGTTTTGATGTATAGCAATCTAGTAAGAAGCCATGTTACCCTATTTGGTATGCCGTGCGTCTATGTGAGCCGGTTGCAGTCACCCATGTGTCTCCACAAAAAAAATTACGGGCACCAATAACAATCGCAACCTGGAATACAGAGAAGAATCAGCATGTTACATGTCAGATTCAGAAAGACAGCAAAACGCCCGCAGGCAATGATCATACCTCCAGACCAAGTTGGCAAACCATTGCAACTTCTCTTGCAATCAACGTCATTACCTAAAAATAACAAATATCAATTTTATTTTATTTTCAATTCAGAAAAGAAAAAAGGAAGAAGCAGTCACTACTATATAATCCCAAGTTTAAGCAGATGCAAGAGGCCACGATTAACCTTTGGGTCAATGTTGTTAGGACCAGTGCCAGCAAGAGCAACACCACTAATTTTCAAGATTACTCTCCGCCATCTAGTTTTAGATATTGATTTGGGCTTCATGTTATTTGTCTGACCTACAGGACTTGTTATTGTATTTGCATATCTGCCAGAAAAACAAATGTAAATAAAAATTATAAGAAGATTGCAATGACAACACGTCACAATGGAACAGCTACCAAAAATAACAACCACTGAGGCGCAGCTTCTAGCAACAGAAAGATGGTATATCTTATTCAGTTGTTCCAAATCCAAAACACCTTTCTTACTTCAATCAAAGCAGATTCCCAGTAAACATTAACTATCGCTGCATAGGTCACTCTGTTTGATAGTGATAATATTGTTAGTTAATGATTTACCTTGCCAAGGCAGCTACTGCAAACCAAAACAAAGATTTCTGATACAACAAGAAACTGGACTACTTAAAATATTCTGTACATAAGCTAAATAATCTCAGAAAGCCGAATTCTGTAAATAATAAAATTAAAAAAAAAAAAAAAGGTAACAATACTGTACCTCTTGGATTGCCTAGCTACGCTCGCAGAACCACCAGTACCACTACCATTATCCTCTTCAGGATGAGTGGCAGCAGGAGCAGGAGGAGCAACCTTAATAGGCAATGAATTCCCAACAATGTCCTCCATTTTCTGAAACCAAGGCCAATGACTGGTCGAAATACTACCACTAGTTATCCTATTCCTCTCCAATTTATACCTCTTCTTCAAATTATCAACTTTATTCTTGCACTGCTCAACACTCTTACTCTGCTTCACCATCGCCGCCACCTCCTCCCAGTCTCTCCCCCTTAAATTCCCTCTACTCAGCTGTGTAAATTTCTCCATGTACGCGTCCAGCAAGCATCCGATTGCCACGTCACTCCACTCTTCTCGATCCTTCCTGTACTCTCCTCCACCGGATCTTCCTCTCTTGTAACTGTTGTACGGATCCCCGCCTCCATCGATTTCACCTTCTCGTTCGCTTCTTTTTGAAGTCCGCACATTTGATGCGTCGCTGTCGCTGTAAGGATTCACGTCTGCGAAAGCTGAATCTGTCTCGTTATTATCCTCTCCGTCTTCTTCTTCGCCGTCCAGAGGGAGGATCGATTCAGGTGGCGCGTGGATCGGCGTTGATTTTGGTGGGTATCGGTAGGGGTGGTGGAGAATGTGGTGGTGGTGATTATCATCGCCGAGGAGAGAGAAATCCTCGTCACAGGAGGACGCCATGAAATGGAAGGGACGTTACAGTTAGGGTTACGGGAACGACGACGTTAGTAAGAAGAGTGAAGCCGTTTGGGGAAAGGGGAGGGAGGTGGTTTAACGGAAGGAGAGAGTTGGGAGTTTGGGAGGGATGGGCCGTCACGGACTGAAACGGACCCGTTAAGTAATGGAGA